TATTACTACTATTATCATTATTATTATTGCTATTATCATTATCATCTTCGTTATTGGTATTATCATACCTTCATTCATATTGTCATGATTATTATTATCTATATCGTTGTTATTATTGTTATTGTTACCATTATTATAATAATAATAATTATTATTATTATCATCATCATTGCTATTATCATTTTTACTATGATTATTATCATAATTGTTATTATTATTATTGTTATTATTATTATCATTATTATTGTTATTATCATTATTGTGATTTTTATTGTTATTATCATTCTCATTGTTATTATTATCATTATCATTATTATTTTATCTCTGTTGTCATTATAATTGTTAATATTATCATTATTATCAATATTATCGAAATCATTATTATAATGAAATTATTACCTATATTATTATTGTTGCTATTATTAGTAGTAGTAATACAAATACTGCTATTATCCTATTTATCATTATCAGTCATATTGTTACATTTATTTTTTATCATGATTACTAGTACTCTTATTAGTATTGCTATCATTATTATCAGTCATTATTATTATTATTGTTATTATCATTATTATAATTATTATGTCAAAGTATTATTACTACTACTATTATTATTATTATTATCATTTTTATCATCATCTTTATTGTTGTAACTACTTTTATCCTTTTTGTTATTACTTAAATATTTTCATTATCTTATTATTGTTACTATTGCTATTATCATTATTTATCATAATCATTAATAATACTATTTTTCACTATCAATGTTATATCATTAATATCATCTCCATTGTCATAATTATGCTGTTATAATTATACAAATAAGAGATGATTATCTGTATTACCATCACCATGCCTTCCGAGGCTCAGACCCCAACGCCTGCCTCACACCATGGAGGTTCATTGTACTTTCTCGTCCCCTTGGCAATGGCATCCGGTCAAGCAGGGGCGGTCCGGCTGCAACACCAGAAGTCCCACGATGACATCGACTCAGCCACGAAGAGATCAGTCCGAGTCGTCACACAGAAAAGAGCGTCGTGCATGAAAAATATTTATGAACCTGTATAGATAATGAGTTGCATCATCTTATTGGCCAAAATTAGCCGCGATTTATTTACGACCAGACAGCTGCATGAAAGTTTCATTAGCCTTTATCTACTTGGTGATTAATTATGCCGTCCGTGCACGCAAGCGCTTTAACGAACCCGTTTTAGTATCGCTCGAGGCAGGTCACTGTGTATGTGTGTGTGTGTGGGGGGGGGGGGTGAGCGAGCGAGTTAAAAGGTCGATGCAGACGGTCAGGCAGAGGGAGAGATGGGAGAAAATTAATGGCGCGAAGCAAGATGATGGGCGAGGGACAGAGAAGAAAAATTGTAGAAAAATGAAGTAATATGAAAAAACAACAACAAAAATAATAATAACAATGAACAAGTAAATGAAACAAAAAATAATAGAAAATAAATAAATAGTATATATATATATATATATATATATATTTATATATCTATATAATGTATATGTCTATGTATATATAAATATATAATATATATATATATTTATATATTTATATAATGTATATGTCTATGTATATATAAATATATATATAATATATATAATATATATATATATATATATATATATATATATATATATATATATATATATATTCATATAATGTATATGTCTATGTATATATAAATATATATATATATATATATATTTATATATATATATATATATATAATATATATATATATATAATATATATATATATATAATATATATAATATATATAATATATATATGTATATATATATACATATATATGTATATATATATATATATATATATATATATATATATATATATACATATGCATATATATATATATATATATATTATATATATATATAGACATATATATTATATATATATATATATATATATATATATATATATATATATATATATATACGTGTATACATATACATACATACATACATACATACATACATACATACATACATACATATATATATATATATATATATATATATATATATATATATATATATTTTTTTTTTTTTTTTTTTTTTTTTTTTTTTTTTTCTACACACATACACACCCATACACATACACATACACTCACACACACACACGCACACACATATATATGCATATATATACATCTATATGTATATATATATGTGTATATGTATGGGTACAAGTAAATTTCCAGCCAGCCACCTTTTAGACGAAAAATAAGTGAAAACGATAGCGCGAGTGATTCTATGAAGCTTCTGTGTACTTCAACCGCTACTCGAAGTTATTGGACACGCAAGTGTCACATTATTTTTAAAATGGCCATCCGATATCCTTTCCTTGTTTTTGTAAAGAAAACAATGATGCCATTTCATTTTTGTACATTTATTCTAATCACTGAGTTTCGTGCGTAGATAAAGCCCGTGTAACGGTACGCGAAGGAGAATTTGTTTCTGTTTCAAAATAAATGACAAAACACCAGTAATACTCACATGATATTGAGTATAACTAATCGAAAATGCAGCCCAGCCTGCAAGCGGTGTGAGCCTCTCAGCTATGTTTTTTTTCTGATTTTGATTCAAATAAGAATATATATATATATATATATATATATATATATATTATATATATATATATACAAACACACACACAGCATATATATATGTATATATATATACAAACAGACACACAGCATATATATATATATATATATATATATAATATATATATATATATATTATATATATATATATATATATATATATATATATAATATATATATACATACATACATACATATATATATATATATATATATATATATATATATATATATATATATCGTTACATCATGATATAAATATCGCCGATTGTTAAGAAATTCGGTTTTTCAACCCACGAGAGATGCATCACTTTATTGTTTTCACCTTTTCAAATCATATTGTGCGTTAATCGTTATTTTTTTATGGGATTACTATAAATTTATCTACTTTTAACGTCTATCAATAACTATAAGCGCAAACTAAAGCATTTGTTATTTGAAGGTAAAAAATACAATAATAATTACATATACCACCAATAATACAGCAGCGACAGAAAGCTCAGGCAAGACTTTGACGACACAGTTCTTAGTGCACAGCACAATGCATGGCAGACACGCGCATCATCTCATGAATTAAACTGAGATCGAACATAGCAAGATCTGATATGCAAACCGTTCAGTAAAGGATCACCGGTATGTATAAACATAATAATAAACATAAGAATGAAAGCCAATGGATTTACCGGAAAGAGAGAGTGTAGTCATTTTCTGTGTATTTAGCAAAATTAACAATCGCTCCTCAGCCAATATTTTATTGTTAATGTCTCGCCCATGACCTCCTTCAGATGGGAAGGACAATGACAACCCTTGCCTGCCCCTTTCGATTAAATATTTTTACCGACTGACTGAACAACGGCCCAGGTGAAATAATTGGCAGCTACAAATTTATGTTCATAGGGTGTTTAATATAAGTATGAATTAAAATCATTATTATATATACTGTCATGAAATCAAAGAAAATAAGGTTGATATCAAAGTTTTGAAATGTTTCACCCAAGGAACAATACATAGCACCTGAAATGACGAAAATGAATGCCTTATGTTTAAATGATTAAGAAATGGGCACCGTGCATAACCAGCAGTTATGTGCTAATTACCAGATTACACCCGCAACAAACCTCGACAAATTCTAGCCAATGAAAACCTCAGCAGATGACGTCATTTTGTTCTGACCAATCAAAACTCATTTTTTCGGAAATCTTTGCACTCGCCCACAAAAACGTTCAGTATGTGTCTGTCCACTGTGTGAGGAGTTATGTGTGTTAAATATTGATATACTGGAAGCCGGCTGAGTTTTAGAAACAGCTGATTGCAAATATCAACATAAATACAACAACATCGAAGACATATGACGGTGAATTATAATAATGGAGGCGCGACAATAGAAAGTTAGTATGATTTAAATTGGTTTTAACGAAAACCGGCAGATTACACATATATCTTACACGGAGTATATATATTAAATTACTGATAAAATGCAAGTAACAATGTCTATAAGTCATAGGTAATTTTCTATTCTAAGTCTGCCGCTCATACATCGATTTTGTTATTGTTGGATTCCTAGCACTCTCTGCAATGCGGGTATGTAGTTTTTATTGCGCGGAAACCTCCCATTAGCAGCAAACTTGGCCCCGATAGCAGGAGAGGGCATGAAAGGTTTCAAGGAAAAAATAACAAACTAAAATAAAAATATAAAACCTACAAAGACAAAAAATAGCCGATGAAAATCAACAATAACTTTTCCACCTGCAAAAATGGCCTGCAAAGCTATCCTGCA